TTTTGTGGACTCTTTTATCAACGTCAGCAGAACGCGTACGCCCCCGTAGCTGACGCCTGAGGTAACTCCTAAACTCACTACAGTAAAGTGTAATTTGTTAGAAGAGTCAGTGAGAAACAAATATAAAGTGTAAAAGCTAGTGAGCTTATATGATATACTTACTGCATGAAGGGTTCAACTTGGCTGTAATTTATCAAAACGTGTCTGTGTGCCTAGAGTTTCTCTGTAGGAGTGAGTCTGAAGAATTCATATCCTCCAACTGGTTTCCCGACAGGAGGAAATAAAGTTGATGTGGAAGGACCAGGAGGAGAATCATCTACGCGACGCGGGCGGTTAAAAGATGTCTCCGTGTCATCAAAGTACCTTGAACAGAAAGTTAGGACCTTATCTCTGGAATAACCTTATGCTATTGACCCCTCAGGCCATGCCTTATTCCTAACATATGATTTTAATTTTCCCAAGTACCTGTAAGTTAAAATTGCATTAATAATTACGAGCAAATAAAAGAACAATGTGAAATTTAAAGAGGCGGGAATAAAAGATAATCTAGTACCTCTCTATAGGGTACATCCATCGATAGTGAACTGGGCCAGCAACCTTTGCTTCTCGAACAAGGTGGACAGTTAAGTGAACCATAACAATAAAGAATGATGGAGGAAATATCATCTCCAAGTGACAAAGTGTAAGAATAATTTTATTTTGCAGCTGATCAAGCTCTTCTACTATCAAGACCTTCGCACACAACTTCTTGAAAAATGAACATAATTCTACCAAAACCACTGATACATCAGAAGGAAGTGTGTTTTTCAAGGCCAATGGAAGTAACTGTTGCATAAGAACATGAGAGTCATGACTTTTTAACCCAGTAACCTTTCGAGCCTGCAGATCGATACACCTTGAGATGTTGCTGGAATATCCATCTGGTACTCTTATGTTCTTCAACGTCGAGAGGAAGATATCCTTATTCTGCTTCATCAAGGTGAATTTAGTTGGTTGAAACTTTCGTTTTCATCAGGCCAAGCCTCTTCACGAATTCCCTAGGCCCGTAAATCTTTTCTAGCTGCGAGATGGTCTTTGGACTTTCCAGCTTCATTCAGCAACGTATATAGCACATTATCGCACACATTTTTTTCAATGTGCATAACATCCAAACTGTGCCGTAGCAAATTAGATTCCCAATAAGGAAGATTGAAAAATATGCTTCTCTTCCGCCATTGCATAGCTTGCATATCAGATGTCCCATGAGATCGTCGTCCCAATCGTTCGGGATCCACACTCTTACCAAACTCGATATTAACATCTTCTAACTGCCGCAAAATATCCACACCAGACAAAGTAACAGGAGGATCTCTCTTCTCCTGTTTCCCATCAAAGCGAATCCATTGCAATCTAAGTTTGTGCTTAGAATCAAGGAACCGTCGATATCCTATAAATCACCACTTGCGACTGTGTGGAAGGCGACATAGCGCAGAATCAAAATTGCACTTAGGACAGGCCAACCACTATGCACGTTCCAACCGAACAAAGTTCCCAAACTGGGAAAATCACTTATTGTCCACATCAAGGCTGCACAGAGATTGAATAGTTGCTTGTCATATGAGTCATATGCCTCAACACCATTCGTCCACAGGTCGATCAATTCGTGCATCAACGGTTGCAGGTATACATCTATATCATTTCCCGGTGCTTTCTTGCCAGGAATGATCATGGAAAGCAAAAAGGAGCTCTACTTCATGCACATCCAAGGTGGTAGATTGTATGGAATTAACACCACTGGCCAGATACTGTAACTTGTGCTCATGTTTCCGAAGGGATTGAAACCATCGGTTGCCAATGCAAGACGTACATTTCTAGGATCATTGGCAAAGTCTGGAAATTTCGCATCAAATGCTATACACGCCTCCGAGTCTCGTGGGTGCCTTAACCTACCATCTGGATTTTCCTCAGTCGCATGCCACCTCATGTGCTGAGCCATTTTTGATAACAGATACATTCTTTGCAACCATGGTTTCAAAGGAAAGTATCTAAAAAAATAATATATTAAAAATTTCAAATACCGAATATTTAAAGACTGAACAAGTAACACATCATAATCAATTGTATTGAGAATTTCAAATATTGAATATGTAGAGATGGAACAAGTAACACATTATTGTAATAAATTGTACTTGAGAATTTTGGCCGGTTTCTTCTTTTGCTTTTTGCCCTTTCGTACCGACTTATAGCGTGACGTCTTGCATCTCGTACAAATCTCCTTGTTTGCATCATCTCCCCAGTATAGCATACAGTCGTTTAGGCATGCATCTATCTTCTTGTAGTTCAAGCCAAGCTTGTTAATAATCTTTTTTGCTTCATAAAAAGATGGAGGGAATTCAGCTTGGGGGAAAGCATCTCCCAGTAATTCCAACAACATGGACATTGCCTTGTCAGTCATACCACACAAGCATTTGATATGATATAGCCTCACCAGGAATGCCAACTTCGAATACTTTGTGCACCCAGAATTAAGAGGTTTGTCAGCTTCGCTCATGAGGTCAAAAAATTTCCGAGTAGTTTCGTTTCTTAGAAACTCTGGTTGAGGCCCCTCTACTTCATCTTCGTTGGGATTCGGGCTTTGGTGAACACCAAAAGCATCATGCACAGCATCGTTCACGGCATCGTCTTCATCCACTTGAACTCCTATCCGTGAAACTACTAGAACTGACTTAGCAACCATATCTGGCCATTCCCCATGTAGTTGCCAAAATACATACTCTCGCGGGAAGGGCTTAAAGATCAAATGTTCTTTAACAATATCTTTAGGATGCCACTTCTTGAAATTACATTTAGGACATGGACACTGAATCTTACCATTTACGGCAGCATTGGCGAAAGCAAAATCCAAGAAATAGTTTAGACCAGCCAAGTATTGCGGAGTCGACCGGTGCAAATTGATCCACGACCTATCCATCACTAATGTTGCTCAAATTTCATGAACATATGACACAGGAAGCTCAAAGAGAAGTTAAAATGAATTTCAATTGGAGTGTTTTAGCTTATAAAGGAGGCTGCCAACAGATGTGTAACAGTCAATTTTTTGTAGCGATTACCAACTGCCATAAATTTCTAGCGGTTTTAATGGAAATTTTGATTTTCTAGCGGTTTAAAACCACTACAAATTCAATCTGACAATGGTTATAAAATTTCCAGCGGTTAGGAACTGCTACAATGTTCTTGATGTGGCTTAGAGGTTTTAACGGAAATTTTGAGTTTCTAGCGGTTTAAAACCGCTACAAATTCAATCTGACAACGGTTATAAAATTTCCAGCGGTTAGGAACCGCTGCAATGTTCTTGACGTTTCTAGCAGTTATATAACTGCTAGAAACTTTGTCACCCTTTCGGTTTTGTAGCGGTTTAGTAACCACTAGAAATTGTAATATTTTTAAATATTAAAAATTTCAAAAGTATTTTAAATACTGCGTAATAAATTAATAACATTTTTAGTATAATGTACTAATTAACACGTGATATAAACAAAATTATTAGCAAATTATTAATATTTATAAAATTAATAAATTAATAAATAATTATAGAAATATTTAATTTATAGAAATAAATTGTAGAAATATTTTAATTAATTAACATGTTTAATAAAATTTAATGTTTATATAGTAATAAATTAATAAATATTTCAATGTTAATTAATACTTGACATAAATAAAATTATAGAAATAAATAAATAAAGTAAACAAATAAATATAAAATTTAGATAAATATCTAAATAGAATATAAAATCATAAAATCAAAATTCAAATAAAATCCTATACAATGAAAACAGGAGAAATCATGGGTGAGGGGCAGAAGCAGCATTATCGTGATTGTCCTCTGCTGGATCCTCCTGCTAGGGGTGGGCAGGGCGCTCAACGTGCTGGGATTGGACTGGCGGATGGGGGGTAGGGGTAGGACTGGTGGCAGGCGTAGGTTGGGGATCTCAAGAATCGTGATGTTTGGAGCCATACGGATCACCACATGACGCATAGCCGTAGCAGCTGCCAAGAGCTGGTCAAGCTGCGCTTGGAACTGAGCATCACGCTCCTGCAACTGACGATCACGCTCCTCGATCCTGGCCTCCACCCTGGCCTTGATCCTGGCCTCTAACTCTTGTCTGAGCTCCTCTCATAACTCCTCTGAGGATGAGGAACCCGGTCGCTTCGCTCTCGCACTTGCCTGAGAGCTCCCAGTAGTATATGAAGGGCTAGCGCCACGTGAGCGGGGCAACCTAGTCGGTGTAGGTCCAAGTCCAAGCCCGCTAACTCGACCACGGTGCTGCGGCTGGCCACGACCCGCTAAAAGTGAGGCGGTGGGATCCAAGGCAAACCCCTGAGACTCACGCAACTCGGTATCGACCTGAGTCATTCGTGCCTACCAAAATTAATGTAAAGAAGTTAATTAGAATAAAATGATATTTACACTGTGATATTATATTAATATTTAACTTATTACTTACCGCTATCTCCTCAACCTTATCCGACGCACGCCCGTCTCATGGTCTATACACCATCAGCCACATCTCGCCATAAGTGGCCGTGTATCCCCGCTCCTGCCATATCTTTTCCCTCTGTAAATGAAATGAAAGAAATAATTAGTTACAAATTAAATACATATACATATTTAACAAATTTATTTCAAGTACTCATAATCTCGTCATAGGTGATCGCAAAGCTCTTGGATCCAACCCTATGACGTATCGTCTGATGCCTAACGCTCCCAGCATTTCTCCGGGAAAGAGCCTGAAGCAAAATGTAAAAAAATTAAATTAAATTAGTCAAGTTGGACAAAAAATAAAGAAATTATAATTAATACAATATTATCATACCATTTGCTCAGCCCTCATCCTAAAATAGACGTAACTAGACTAGTCTTGCTCCGGGACTCCACCAGGTATATCTGCCAGTATCTCCTGCAGGGGCCTCATCCTGTCACCTTTCTTCTCCCTCCACAGGTCGGCCCTCCTGTTCTTCTATGCCACTCCAAGCCTCTTGATCGTGTTGGCCCTCAACTCCTTCCCCAAAATAAACTTACTCTGTGATTAAAATAATAAATTAACTAAATAACAAATTATAAACAACAACTAAGCAATTTCAATAAAAATATATATGTTTTTAACTAACTTAAAAATATTATAAATGAAATATAAATTATATCAATAACAAATCATAATTAAACAATTAAGTAATTTAAATGAAAATATATTTTCACTCAACTAATTTAAAATTATTATAAGTAATAAATTAATGAAATCAATAACAAATTATTTTCAAACAATAAAATAATTTAAATCAAAAATATATATTCATTTAAATATTTTAAAAATATTATAAATAACAAACAAATTAAATAAATAAAAAATTATAATCAAACAATTAAATTATTTGAAAACAAAATATATAATCATTTATTTAAATTAAAAAAATATAAATAACAATTTCATATTACCTTCATCATTTTCCAGCCTTGCTGCTTCTTCTCTGAGGTGATCTTCTTCCAGTCTTGCACGTAGATGGGGAACAGCATCCACTACTGACCAAGGAGGCGCACATACTTGTTGTACAACTGGCCACCTTTCTTCGTCAATTGGCCCAACTCATTGAGTGGCACAACCACCCGTCCGCTCGTCGTCATAGACAGCTCTCTGGCTGTCAGCCTCCTATAGGACCTGTTCCCCTCAGAGTCTGTAAAATTTAACTAAGAAATAAATTACATATCAATGAATTAAAACAATTTCTATATAAATTAAATAGTTGTCAAATTTAAAAAATTTAAATAAATACTTACCCACAAATTCCACCTCAAAACCGACTTGACGTCTGGGAGCAGGACGCTGCGTAGCCTGGGGATTCTCATTCCCCTGAACCTGCTGCTCCTCCTCCTCAGCAGCATCATTATCAGCATGGGGTTGTTCATCCCCAGTAAAATGAGCCTCCTCAGTCCGTTCAACATCGTCCTGCTCCATAAAATTGAGTATATCCTCCTCGCTGAGATCGTAGTCATGAATACTGAGAAATGGCTCACCAGCATCATGACTACCATCACGACGAACCTCACTGGGTCTAGCCCTCTCAGGATCAATTGGCTCCTTCCCTAGCCGATGACTCATCCTAATAACAACAAATAGTAATTATTTATAAATAAAATAAAAAGAGAAACTATTTATAAGTAAAAATATAATAAATTAAATAAAAAATAAGAATAAAGATTATTTATAAATAAATTACTACTTGTACCTAAAAATAAGGATCTGTAACTGAATCAAAACTCGGATATGTTTTGTGGAGAAAATTCAGCAGAGCTTCACTTCATGAACAACTGAAATAGCGAAAATGACCGTGGGGTATATATAGGCAGCAAATTTCTAGCGGTTTTCAACAAAACCGCTAGAAATTTCTAGCGGTTATATAACAAAACCGCTAGAAAGTGCAACGGTCAGCCGCCCGCATTTAGGGCACCTCGGGAGTTCCCAAAATTTCTAGCAGTTTCGGCAATAACCGCTAGAAAGTGGAAATATTTTATAGCGGTTTAGTCAAAACCGCTAGAAAGTGTAACGGTCATGAAATATTTTCTAGCGGTTTTAGCCAAAACCACTAGAAATTCTCAGACCATTACTAGCGGTTTAAAGAACCGCTAGAGAATTGCAAGACTCTAGTGGTTTGTTGACCTTGACCGCTAAAAAATAAACGCTACAATTTTGGCGCCAAGTTCCTGCCAAAACGCGGGAAAGGTTCTAGCTGTGATTTTCTAGTGGTCGGCTTATAACCGCTAAAGAGTTACGGGCCCCACACTCTACATGGTCAAAGCGATGCTAATTTCTAGCGGTTTCAAGAAAAACTGCTAGAAATGCTTACATTTCTAGCGATTTTCTTAAACCGCTAGAAATGCTCCGCTGCTAACCCTCCATTTTCTTGTAGTGGAACTTATTATTTCTCTTTAGGTGTCGTCATTGATAAGATTTGCATAGTGTTATGGAGTTAGAAAATTTGCTAAATTTTGGAGAATTTCAGTGCTGCCCTACCAACATCTCATCTAGAAATAGTTATAAAATGTTTTGATAGTCACTCTAGTTCAGTCGGCTGTCAAATTAAAGAAGTGCCATCGGCTTCAAAAAATCTGTTGATCGGATCGTAGTGAGTGGACACAAATCATGTCAATTTCAGCAATAAATATTTCTGTTGCATTTTTCATTGGGATAAGAAGCGTACCCACAAATTTAAATGCCACAGCGGTTGGGTTCACAAGCTAGTCGGACCGATTTCAATTTACGTAAAAGTATTTTTTTCCCCAAAAATGTCATCCTAGAAATGTGATGAGGGTGGTACTCTCTCCATTCCATCCGCAGAGGCACTTCTCTAGTCCACCTTCGGTGCTCATCTCTAAAAATGTCATCCTTCGAGAAGATTATAAGTACTGGATGAATTTTTTAAAAAAAATGACAAGTATTTCCTCCATACCTTGTTATAAGAAATAATTATTAAGATTACATGATTTAAAGTGCTCCTCTAGTCTTATTTATAATGCAAAGAGAGAAAATACATTTGTTGATCCTATTTATAGGGAATTCAGAGAAATTTTTATATAGATGTACAATTCTATCATTCATTTATTGTTGTGTTGACCTTGTTTATATGAGGTATAATGTATATTAAATAAAAATACAGTTGGAAAATGGTTGAATTTTAAATGAGAGTTAATGAAGTTTAAGATTTTTCTTGGTATGTGTGAAACATGCTAAAAATGACTTATAAATAGAACCAAAGAAGTATTAGTTAAATTTAATTAATTGAAATAAATGTGTAAAATATATAAATATTTTTGCAATTATATCATTAATTGTAAAGAGAATATATGAGAGATAATGAATAAAAATTTATTACAGAAAAATATTAAGTCGCATATATTTAATGGGGTAAAAATGAAAAAACTAGTTTAAAATTTCAGAAATTTTTTTTTTCCTTTTAGCAACATTGTTATGAGAGATATTGTTCCTTATAAAAAGTAACGGATTGAGTAACATTTGTGTTTTAAAATCATGTAATAAGCCTAAATGAAATAATAAATTCTAGAGTTAAGTGGCTGTTTAAGTTGCATTTAGAATTCTAAACTATAACTTTTAGTTGTATTTAGTATTCTAAATTAAGTTTTGCTACATCGAGCATTTGAAAATATTTTTTTCCAGTAATACTTAATATCTTTTGTAATTTTTTGTGTCTCCATCATACTAAATTATTTTTTAAATAGCATTCAGTATCTTAAATATCGGGTGCTCATTTCTATTGAGAAAATACTTTAAGAGCGAAATTTACGATATTGACTTCATTTTTAACAATTTTTATGCAATTTCGCACATCAAGTATTTTCTTATAGTAAGTATGAGCACTTTGTATTTAAGATATTAAGTGCTAATTAACAAATAATTTAGTTTGCTGAATACTCCAAATACTACTGAGAAGAATGAGTACCACTGAAAAAAATGATCTCAGGTGTTGGAGGTAGCAAAAATTAATTTAGAATATTAAATATTACTGAAAAGTATATTTTATGCTAAATACAACTTTAGAATTTGAGTTAATAGCCATTGTGGGCTGTGGCCGAGGTTGCTGGGCATTGCCGAACCCAAGTGGATGAAGCCAAAGCCCATGGGCTGTATGGAACCAATCAAGACATGGTGATTTGTTTAGAACTTCTCTCTATTTGTCTGCTAGGGTTATAGGCTGATGATCGAGAAGATGATTCAGTGCTTGATTGGAAATGGCACAGTGATCGAGCTTCTTTCGAATGTGTTTTTGTCTCATAACAGAATTCTTTTCTTGGCTAAAATAAACTCTTTCTTTCTAGTACATAATATAAGGGCTGTCATGAAATCTAAGTGACTTCTGATATTATTCTTATTAATTATACTAAATTCTTATATCATACTCCTTTGGCTCTATTTACAAGACATAGAGAGAAGGGTTTTTTTTTGTGTCTTGTTTTTAAGTTACTTTATTAAATTTTTAATATCAATATACTATTTTGTCTTTTAGTTATTATAGTGCAGATAGTTATGTTTTTCAAAATAGATATGTATTAAATAGGAGTGAAGTTGAAAAAGTGTTATATTTTAATAAAGAGTTAATATAGTTTAAGATTTTACTTAATCTGTATAAAACATGTCAAAAATACCTTATAAATAAGATTAGAGGGGTATTAATTTCTACTCTCTCACTATTCTTATTGAATATGGACATCTTGGGGGGGGAATTAATACTCACTGAAACTATCAAAATGTCTTATAAAATGAATTAAAAATTCCTTATAAGATTTCTTATAACAAAAGGAATACCTTTGGTTCTTTAAATTTATATTAATTTTCAGTTTAGTCTTTTATTTCGTTCTCACTTACAATATTTGAATTCAATCAATTCACTTGGCAGCGAAATTAATTTATTTATATTCAATATAAATATTTTGAATTTTAGCTTCTTCGGTAGTTATTTTGATAAAACCCATGTATCCCATAGGGACTTTGTCTTGTTATTCTATGTGTCAAATAACCCTTTTTCCTGTATCCCATATTTTTCAGAAAGAAAAATTATAAATGGGAAAAGAAAAAAAAAAGCATGATGAGATCTCCGTCTCACTGAATATATCCAATATTACTCATGTTTTACTATCACGTAAGATATCAATATATAATATCTATTTTGTAATGTAAATTATACTACAAAATTAATATTATATTATGGAGGACTATATGTAATTTAAGGTGACTACAAAATACAGTCAAAAGTTGATGGAGACTTTTGATATAAAACTTTTGACGGATATGTAAAAGGTCGAGATAAAACTCCAACACACACACAGAGTAGTTAACATTTAAACTACAACGTACTTACATATCAATGACTTGATCACTTCTTATCGATAATCCAAATCATATTTAACCATCAACGTAACTCAGAAATTCAGCTAACACTACTCAAATATATATATACTTCACACTCCAACACTGACTTAATTAGCAAATAGATATAAGTATACATACAAATCAAGGGAGTAGTTAAGGATCAAAAGAAGCAAATTGAAGAAGTAGAGGATTTGTTTCAAATTGGGGCATATGAAGCTCATTTAAGGTGGCCCAAGCTTCTATTTCTCCAACCCTAGAAGAAGTAGGCATCAAGATAATAACATTTCTTATAGGCACTCCAATAGTACAAACCCAGGTTGGCTTGCCCCTTCCGAAGTTTGATTCATATAAACCAAGCTTCAACCAGCTACTAAAGGTATAACAAGGAACACCTTTCTCTGTTACCAAATACATGCATCTTTTGTAAATTTGATTCAAGGGTTTCAAAAAGTTTCTTACCATCTTGTTGAAGTATACTCAGGAAATCCCCATCAACCATTTTTGTGGTTTTTCTCACTACTTCAACCAAGTCATGTAGCTCCACCTTCATTTCTTTGTCAACTATGTAATAGAGAAAAGGCAGGTATAAAGAGATTACTTGTATTTTGATAATGCAAAAGCTCAAATTAAGAAAACCATTAAAATAGTTTATAACTACATGAATAAGTGAAGCATGTCATTGTCACTGAGAGAATTCTCTGGTAATGGCAGAAACATTCGGCTTCGTATGTTCACAGCATGTAACAGGAATGAACTACTTTTGTCACTTGGCTCTGTAGTTCTTACAGCTTCCAATGCTGATTTCCATATGAAAGTTGTTACAGCTTCAATTCTAGTGGACTTAAAGCTGCAACCTCTTGATGAAATTTCTTCTTTCAATCTGCATAAGTTATTTTCACTAAACAAGAACCTTTTTGTTGTAATTTTTTTCTCACCTATCATGTCATTGAAGTCCATCTCTATACCCTTGGGCGGAAAAAGCATAAGCTTCCATATTAAGAGGTGAAGAAGAGGCCACTTCACTTCCCTCTCCCATTGCCTTTTGAGACCAAGCTTTGAGGAATGAAGCTACTGATGTTGTGTCACAAACCTTGTGTGAGATGCACACACCAATTGCTTTGCCTCCACAGCCAAACTCAATAACATGAACAGCCATTATTAGATGATCTTCTTCATCATCGTCTAGTTTAGGCTTATAGGGATCTAATGGAAGAAACCCTTTAATTTCATTGAGTTGTTGGTTGGTATTATCCTTGAGAAAATCTGAGAGCTTTGAGGAGGGTACTCTACCTTCAAGGTAAAGGACACCCTTATCATTGCAATCGACATAGAGATTGTCTTTGTTTCTTTTGATTCTTCCATTGAATGGATAATAGAGAGTGAGAATTTGAGATAGCGAAGTCTTCTACTTTTGAGACAGTTTGGAAAAATATGATTAAAAGCAAAGTAGAAGAGAACAACAAGAAGATAAAAAGAAGAAGGAGTAGCTATCTCATCAAGGAGAGAAATTTGGAAGTGTTTAAGGTGATTTGGAGTTGGAGATAATGGCTTTATGGTGACCTGGGATACAATCTCCACCTTAACTTTTGCCATTTCTCAGACAATATAAGAAAAGAATGGGTTCAGTGGAATTGCAAGAAGGTTGTGATTTTGGTTGATTTTCTTGGGAGAGACTATAATATATAAAAAAATACATGCAAACTCTTGTGAAGCTGTCCAAATCGATAGGTTGGACGGGTTATTAATTAGGCCAACCCATCATAAGTCTTAATTGAATTGTCAAACTTATTTGACCCACCCTTTTCACACTTTTGAAACTGATGAAGCACTTCACTATTTGGATGGCCAAAATCATTCAACTTTAATTCGACTCTCCTTCTTCTAATTATTCAACTTGAAACTCTAAGAAAAATGGATTCATGAGTGGCACATAATAATGGAATTGCCTGACTGCACAAGAGCGTTTGAGTTTGAGACGAGAAGGAGAGGGAGTACTGTGCAAGGTATATTGTGACAGCTCTAGGTTTAACGAGAAATAACATTTACGTTCCCAAATTAATTTCTTTAGTTGAATCACCTTGGTTTGATTTAGTTAGAGAATAAAATCATTTTATATTAGTAGACATTGCTGTAGGATGAGAATAAAGTTATCACCGTTGTATTGTATATGTCCTTGTATTAGTACGTGGCTCTTGTATATTGGTTACCCTGTACCGTTTCCCTATATATAAATGTGAACAGTGGGAGCCAGCTATCCATCAAAGCTTTTGGCTTATTTCTCATTTTGTGATTTTCATCTACTTTCCTTCTTGGTACCAGAGCCAGGGGTTTTCTTTTTCACCAAACATGTCGGACTCTGTTTCCACCGGAACCAATGATACACCTACCACCATTACTGTCAATACTGTTTCCAAAACTAATCCCCTCTTTCATAATCAAGCTACCTCAGTCAAGTTGGATCGAGAGAACTATATGTTTTGGGAGTCAATTATTCTACCTTTTATTGAAGGGAACAAACTTGAAACTCATGTCAATGGAGTCGGCCCTGTTCCACAGAAGTTCATCCCAGAAGGTGCTGAGGTGAAACTCAATCTTGCTTATGAAGAATGGTCTGTTGTTGACCGACTACTTGTTGGATGGCTTAGAAATACAATGAGCATGGAGATAGGAGCACAACTTTTTCATTGTCGTACTGCTCAGGAGCTTTGGGATGGAGCTAAAGCTCTTGCAACAGCATCAACCAAAGCCAAAGTCATGGCGCTCAAGTCGGAGCTCCAGCGAACACGCAAAAATGGGTTGCGTATGGACGAATTTCTGACTAAACTGAAGAACCTCACAGATCAGCTTGCTTTGGCCGGCTCCCCTGTCTCCACCGAAGATCTCATTGCTCAAGCTCTAAATGGTCTTGATGCAGACTATAATGCCATAGTCGTTAAACTTATTGATCAACCCAAACTCACATGGATTGATGCTCAAGCTTCGTTGTTAGCTTTTGAAAGCAGAATCGAACAGCTCAATCAGTTTTCATCTCTGACTATTCAACCTACTGTTAATGTTGCACAGCGAGATTATCACCATCCTGAAGCTAGTCGAGGTTCATGGCGTGGTGGACGAGGGACCTGAAACAACAATCGCGGTCGTGGGCGCTCATTCCGGAGCGTAAGTGGTGGTCGTCCCTACTGTCACCTGTGTCGTCGCTTTGGTCATCTAGTCACAAACTGTTACCATCGCTATGATCGTTCCTTTCAGCCACCAACTGACTTCGGAAATGCATCATCAGGGGCCTTTTCTCCTCAGGCTTATTTTGCTTCACCAAGTACCGTCTCTGATTCAGCTTGGTATATGGATAGTGGTGCTAACTACCATGTTTCTCCATCTTCTGATCATTTAGATAAGACTCTTCCAGCTAGTAAGTGTCATCTTCTTACTTGCACTGGTGAGAAAACTCAAATCCAAGCTGTTGGTTCAACTACTATTCCTTGTTCTCCTTCTTCACTCAAGCTGAATGATATTCTGATAGTTCCCACTGCAACTAAGAAATTAATGAGTGTTTATAAGTTGATTGAAGATAACATGGTTGATGTTTTGTTTACTGATCATGGCTGCATTGTGAAGGACAAAGTGACAGGACAAGTGTTGCTTCAAGGGAAACCACGACAAGGAATGTATCCAATGAGGCATGATAATCATGGTCAAGCTCAAGCTCATTTTGCTGCTACACTATCTTTTGCTCCAGAAGCATGTTTTTCTGATTTAGTTGAATGGCATCGTAAATTAGGACACCCTTGTGACAGAGTTTTGAGACAAATATTAAGTGATTGTAATGTGAAAATCAAGTCTAGAGACAAACTTTTTTGTGAAGCCTGTCAGTATGGAAAATCTAAATATTTACCTTTTCCTAATTCTAGCTCTCATGCTTCTGCTCCTCTTGATTTAATTCATACTGATCTCTGGGGACCCTCACCTGTTCAATCTGTTCAAGGGCACCGTTTTTATATTCACTTTGTTGATGATTTTAGCCGTTACACGTGGTTGTATCCACTAAAAAGCAAAGGAGAAGCAATACATGCTTTCAATCAGTTCAAAGTTTTAGTTGAGAATCAATTTGGAACTAAAATTAAGAGCCTGCAATGTGACATGGGAACAGAGTACAAGCCCTTCGTTAATGTTGCTCAAACTCATGGAATTAATCTTAGATACACTTGTCCATATACTTCTCAACAAAATGGCCGTGCTAAACGCAAACATCGGCACATTGTGAAAACTGGTTTAACTCTTTTGGCTCAAGCTCACATGCCTTTAACATACTGGGTTGATGCTTTTCAAGCTGTTGTATTTTTAATTAACAGACTCCCTACACCAGTTCTCAACAATAGCACTCCTCTGTTTAAACTCTTCAAAACAGAGCCAGAATATAAATCCTTACAACCATTTGGGTGTGCGTGTTATCCCTGTCTTAAGCCTTATAATAATCACAAGTTTCAGTTTCATAGTCAAAAATGTGTGTTTCTTGGCTATGCTTCTCAACAAAAGGGGTATAAGTGCTTGAGCTCTACTGGACGGATTTACATTTCAAGGCATGTAGTTTTTGATCCTTCAGTTTTTCCCTTTGCAATAAGTTTTTTAAATCGCAAGTCTAGTGGGATTCAAAGTGAACATGTGGTCCCCATAGTCATTCACTCCGTGCCTCATTCTACAGCAGCTTTATCCTCTGAGCAATCTGATACGCTGCCTCCCTTACCAAGACAGAGCTCACACACCACTATCTCACCAAGACAGAGCTCACCAGCCACTTTCATACCTCAACATTTATTGAGGAGTGATGATACCACTGCACAACCAGCTGTCTCTTCTTCTGTATTGGGGAGCAACTCTTTATCATCTTCCTCTTCTTCAAGTGGTCCCACTAACATCATAGATCAACCTATTACTAATGTGCATCCTATGACCACTAGAGTCAAGAGTGGTACTTTCAAGCCCAAATACCCGTTTGTTGGGCTTTTATCTTTTGAAGATCCAAAGTCCTTAACTCAAGTAGCTGAGCCCAATAGCATTCCTGAAGCCTTAGCTTCACCTCAGTGGAGACAAGCTATGGTGAGTGAATTCGAAGCTCTCCAATGAAACCAAACATGGTATCTTGTACCCTATGATGGGTCTTCGAAGATCATTGATTGCCGATGGGTGTTTAAGACAAAATTCAATGCTGATAGCTCTCTGTTGAAGCACAAAGTCAGGTTGGTGGCCAAGGGTTTTCAACAAACTCCTGGTGTTGATTTCAGTGAAACTTTCAGCCCGGTAGTTAAAACAGCCACCATTAGAGTTGTTCTTACAATTGCTGTCACTTTTAATTGGGAAGTAAGGCAGTTGGACATCAATAATGCTTTTCTTAATGGATTCCTTCAAGAAGATGTGTATATGCGTCAACCAGAGGGTTTTGTTGATCCCAAGAGACCAGATCATGTATGTAAGCTTGTCAAAGCAATTTATGGATTGAAACAGGCTCCGCGGGCTTGGTATGAGAGATTAAGAACGACTTTGTTGCAGTGGGGTTTCAAGAATGCTCGAAGTGATATGTCCCTATTCATGCTTCGCACTAACAGACTCACAGTATTCATTTTGATTTATGTTGATGATATTTTGATTACTGGGAATAATTTGTCCTATTTAAGGTCCTTTATGCATAGGCTAAATTCTCTCTTTTCTTTAAAAGACTTGGGTCCCTTGCATTATTTCTTGGGTATTGAGGTGGTGCGAGATAGTTCTAGCATTTTTCTTAATCAGGCTAAATATGTTCTTGATCTTCTTAAGCGTTTTAATATGCTTGATGCTGCACCGATAACTACACCAATGGTCACAGGAAGACAATTTTCTATTTATGATGGTGAACCACTCACTGATGCTACAAAATATCGGCAAGCAATTGGAGCACTTCAATGGCTTACAACAACTCGTCCGGACATTGCATTTTCAGTTAATAAACTTAGCCAGTTTTTATCAAAACCCATGGATGTTCATTTTCAGGGGGTGAAACGGATACTTAGATATCTCAAGGGAACTTATCACTATGGACTTCACATTAAACCATTTGTGAACCTACATTTGACAGCTTTTACAGATGCAGATTGGGGTACAAATGTGGATGATCGCAAGTCTATGGCAGGTTTCTGCATATATCTGGGCAATACTTTGGTAAATTGGGCTTCTAGAAAACAGAGAGTTGTGTCAAGATCAAGCACTGAATCTGAGTACCGTGCTTTGGCTGATTCTGCAGCAGAGGTCAACTGGCTATGCTCTTTATTATTTGAACTGGGTCTCTTCTTAAAGCATCCTTCGATTATTTGGTGTGATAATCTCAGTGCAAATGCCTTAGCAGCAAACCCAGTCCAACATGCGAGAACAAAGCATATAGAAATCGATATTCACTTCGTTCGCGATCAAGTATTGGCGAAAGCACTTGATGTTCGACATATTCCTTCACCATGCCAAGTAGCTGACTGTTTGACCAAAGCTTTAACTTTCCCTCAGTTCTCTGCTTTTCGCCGCCAACTTGCTTTGTGTATCCCCCCGTCTCGTTTGAGGGAGAGAGTTAGAGA